TAAGCTTCACACAATGCCATTTACTTAACTTTTGTAAACCGCAAATGTGTCTGTAGCATTTTGGCGCCCTTACATAAGTGAATAATGTTTGCAACTTAACTGCACATTATGCTTACTTATATCCTTTCCATTGCAATAATATTCACATGGCATTTGCGCTTATGCATGTTTTCAAATATGTGACTAAAATTGAACTTTATGCCTGGCACGCTAAGAAATTCATAAAATATAATCTAATAAGCTCAGAATATTCTAGCTCCAAATGGCGGATATCGTTGTTGTCTAGATTGGCGATACTCAAACTTGTGTTGTGCCAGTGCAAACTTGTGTACGTATAACTACACATATACCACATAAATTTGTATGCATACTATTTATATATACATATTTACATACATTCTGCATGGAGATAAAAATAAAATGACCTTATAATGCAAAAAATGCTTGTTAGTGATCTTTTTTTTTACATTATTTCCAGAGCGCATTACATATAGTTGCGTTCGAAAAGAATTTTTATTAGAAATAAAGGTACTTTTAACCCTATTTCTATTAGAATATGTACATCGCACAGAGGAGTGGTTGCATAGTGAAACCGGTCAAAATAATTTTATGTGTTTTTCTACTCAGTAAGTAAATAAAGCATGAAACTTAATCATGATTAGGGATTATAGGATAAAAATTACTAATTACACTTAGCTCAGAATCACTTTCGTGAAATATTTTGATAAGTATATTCAGTTACCATAAGTCCACAAAAAAACTTATTCTGACAAAGACAAGAACGTAATTCGTTTGCCTATAACATATTTAAATTGCGAATAACTGCGAATTGTGCAGAAATTTTCGTTACTAAAGTTTTGATGATTTTTTCAATTTCAATTAAATAATAACTTAAAGTTAAAAAAAGGCATGTGGCAAGTTGTTCTAAGGACACAATCGTTCTCGCAATTCAGTAAATTTGGGTACCCAGCTTCGACGAAAGCTGTTGACTCTCGAATACACTTTTCGGCATTCGTTCGTCTTATATTTTTTTAAATTTATTTTTACAGCTGAAGGAAAAAGTGGAAAATAAATCTAGCGATGAATCGGGGTTTTTCATAGATCTTTGACAAATAGTATTTAATCGTTACGTAATTTTTACCAAATTAAAGAGCAGACTTATACCTGTTAACAATGCGACTCTCCTTATAACTATGCATTAAACATTTCTGTAAATAAAATCCAAAATTACAATTTAACGACTCTTCATGTTTTGTCCTTCGAAAATCAAAATGAAGCACATGCGACCAATCCACTTGCTTTAATTGCTCAAAAATAACGGTAGTTACATACATACATATATTTCAAGGAACCAAACTTTGACAAACCTTGACAAGTATACCAATATTTCAAAATATTATTCAACAAAAATATCAAACTAGACCGAATTTAAATATTCTGTAATAAGGCCATTTAGCAATTTACTTAAATTTCGTATTAAATGATAGAAATGGCCTACTGCTGCCATTTTCAAAAGGATTTTTTTTTTACATAGGTCTTTACTAAAAAATACTATTACAAAATTGACTATTTTCAGGTTGACATATGTATGTCAAAGGGAAAGCAGCGGAGGTGGTTTTCATGGCCACCATTCAATAGATCAGTTGCTTAGCTTTAGGAGTAGTATCTTTTACTGGACTTTTGCAACAAATGGTAAATTTGACATTTGACCGGTTTTTCTGGATAAATACTCCTGGGTAAGGCTTCCTCAAGTTGGCCCCGAATTAACCTAGATTAAAGTTTTTTGATGATATTCAGGCAGCGCGGAGTTTTGTAGTCGAAAAATACATCGTGTAAATGTTTTTGCAAAATTCCAAATATTTTTTTTTTATCAACAGTTCAAACATTTTGCAGTGTTTTGGAAATTTTTATTTTTTATTGAAAGTAAGTGCCCGAATGAAATCATTTTTTGGGCGCAGATTCTAAAAACGTTAAACTATACAATGAAATTATTTGCTTTACAAACATATATATTTTTTTTTTTGCTTTTCCATAATTTTTTTATAAACAATTGAACATTTGAACAAATTCTGCGCATCGTGGACAAACATTTGTAACAACAACTCATGCAGTAAATATTTCTGCATTTATCTGTGACAAAAATGCGTGCATTTCGATATAGTTTGGATAGAATGAACTTTTATTTGCCAGCGTGTGCGCCCAACTCTTTTCATTTGAAACTAACAACAAGTTTTCAAATGTTACAAACTACCATTAAATTTAAAATTTCTGCGGCAATGCTTAGAAATATTTTTTTTTTACATACATACATATATATATATATTGCAGCAGTTTCCGAGCCGCACGGACATTGGATTTCATGCGGAGTAGTCGGTCTGAAAGGACGAGTCCCTGAGCCGTAATTGATATATTGCGGATATCCAAGTTTATTATATTATATTGCGCATCATTTTATTATATCGGAAAAAACCTTTTTTTTAGTCTTCATTCATATCTCGGGCTAAGAAAATCTCTCGCTAGTCGATTTGGATGGTTCAGTAACTGGTGCTTAGTTCTCTTATGTCCTCTAGATTTTAGTGGGAAAGTTTCTATCCTATGTATGACAGAAATAATTTAAACATTGTAGATACATATACTTTATTTTCATACTGCGAGCATAGAGAAAAAATTCTGGGACTTGCTGTATGTTAGTACGCGTCTATACCCACTCGGCTACAACCAGAATACTGCAAAGAGAAAATTTTGAAAAGTTATACTTAACCAATTAACTGTAAAAAATCTAAAAATTTGATATTCCAAGAACTAGTTTGTAAAACTACTGTAAAAAACGTTTGAAAACTATTTGCCGTTGCCTGCCGAGAGGTGGCCGCTTAAAATTTATTTTCTTTTGTTTTTGATGTTAATCGGAAACTGGGCTCGATCCCAGGAATGGTAGTGCGCACTTTTAAGCACTACACTACGGCGATCCATATTTAAGTTGAACTTGAATTTTAAATCAGGCAGCAACCCTCCTACAAGTAGTTAAGAGGAAATAAAGCCTTTTCGAAGCCATTTCCAGTGTTTCTAATATTGTAGTAAATCACTTAATTTATAAAATTAATTGAATTCGACTTTTTAAACAAAATATTATCAATCTACAATCTTTTTAGCCCTGTTTCATCGTCTTCTGACTACTACCCCACCACAAATACTGCCAGAGATATGCAGTATGAAAAACTCTGTTTGTATTTGGCGTGCCGCGCCCCCCCTTTCCAATGACTACCATTTTTCTGGTATTGATTTTATATATCTCCGTACCATGTTCCACTGCTCTCCACAAATACTTCCAGAGATCTGCAGTATAAAAAATTCCATTTCCATTTTTGCCACGCCTCCTTGTATAATCGAGATATGAGCTATCCTATATTTTAAGTTAGGCTAAATGAAACCAGTGGACATAATTTCATGATAATCGGTTGAGCATTTAAAGCGTAAAGCATAACAAACAAACAAACTCACTTTCGCATTTATAAAGTAAGTAAGGATGGTAAGGATTACAGGTTGCATTCGCCACATTTAAAAAAAATATGGAATAACTTTTTATATCCGCATCTTTAAACTTAGATCAGACGAGCGTTTTAGAATAAAAATTAAATAAATCAAGAACTGTTCAAAATATACATTGATTTACGTCATTTAGGCTTTATTTTTATACGGCTCAAAAGATTGCACAATGCTACTACAAAAGTCTAAAAAAGTACATTGCTAAATGTGTGCTCACTCACCTTAAATCGCTAAAAATAGTGGGGTTGTTTTCTCTCTTACCTTCGTTTTCGATATGTTTCCTTTACTCGAACGCATTACATTTTGTATCCCGCCAAGAATATTTAGGAATCATGAAATTTTTTCTTTAGAATCTGTCAGAAGTAATTATGTCAACAGTGCTCCTATTCGCAGAGCTCTAAATGTATTTAATTTGCTTTAAAACGCCTCTGCTATCAATTTTTCTTCTTTAGCAAGTTTTTTTTTTTTACTCTAAATAGTCTGTTTGAAATGTTACATTTTCCAGACAAATAAATAAATAAATATTTCGAAAGCTAAGGCCATATGAATAGTTTGAAAGCCAGATTCCCAATATATAGAACAATCAGCTCTCAAAATCTCTGCCGAAAATTTGTGTTGGCCTTTGATTTTGCTACGTCACAATAATAATAACAGAAAAAGATGTGATAAAATGTTTAACTATAATTAGAAAAGCAAAATTATTTCTAACCAGATTATACCCGCAGGTAAGTAAGTACCCGTAGTATGTAGCAAATGGTTCGGTGTAGGGTATTTGGCTAATCAAATGAAAGCAAGTGAACATTTGACAAAACTTGTTTTACATTCATTTAACCCAATGTCAATTTTGGTGTCGAGTACTGCAAGCCATGGCCTCTTGAACGGGCCATAATTTGCAGCCCAATAGATTGAGGTCTGGCTTGTGAATGGTCAAATCAAAACGTCCAATAATTTTTTGTATGAAATGGGAGCAGAAAAAAATGTAACTCATACGCCATAACGTACCCACTAAAACTACGCGTGTATCTACACCAGCTTATTTTTAACTGATCATTGCTCATGTTTTAACCATCTTAATCCCTACTCGATGTGTATTGGGCAATGTTGCCATTCCATGAAGTAATCCCTTGGAGCAGTTTTGTGCTACCCTGGTGTAATGCAGAGGTGGAGTATAACATCCTGCCCAAGGACATCGCAATGTTAATTGAACCAGATTTTTTGTATGCATTGCGCTTAATATTTTTATCGAATTTGGTAGCGATATTTTTATCGATTTTGTTATCGTTTTTGTAATCGATATTTTTTAAAAAAAATTGTATCGATATTGTTATTGGTTTTGTTATCGATATCGATTATTTATCGACTTGGTTATCGATTATTTACCGATTTTATTATCGATATCTTAATCGATTTTTCTATCGAATTTGCCATCAATAATTTTATCGATATTTTAATCGATTTTCCAATAGATTTTACTACCAAGAGTATTATTGCGCACTTACTTTTTTCATTCACTGCAGATAGATCCGTAATCTACGACCCAAACTTAAGTTTAAGCGACTCGTATTTTTTCGATTCAATTTAGCTGCTGGGTGAGAAGAATGCTTATTATTGACGCTGCCATATTTCTACTTTTATTAAATACTGTCATTCCAAAGCTTTATGAATTCAAATTTTTTTAAATGCGATAGAAATTATTATCTTCTAAGTTTTATTTTTATAAAAAAAAACAAACATATCTCAGTTTTGGCTCGCTGAGCTGCCTTTTGTTTGAGTTATCGGGCTTGTTAACACCGTTGGGACATTAACCTAATTGCGGTTTTTGTAATATATATATATATATGTTATCATACCATTTTATGCATACATATATATCTATGTTCATATGACGGTACAGGGACACATATGTAGGTATGTATGTACAATATACAGACAGGCCATATGCACACATGTTTTTCGGGTGGTGCACAAAACACACACGTGAATTCGACATTACGTATACGCAGTGTGTGTACATTTTAAAGCATCTTTGCCTTGCTTGTTTGGCTGCCTTGTTGTTTGCCTGGTTGTTATCGTTTGTTGTCGTTGATCTTTGCCTTTGTACACATGCTCTTATGCTTAGTTACATTTACTATTGTTGTTTTTACTAATATTATCATGTACGCTGGTTACTGTTGTTTTGTAGATATTCCTCGAATAGTTATTACTCTCGTTGCGGGCTGTTAGAGCAGCAGTTGTGATGTACGCACTCTTTTCCTTTGCTAACTGCCCTTAATGATTGTTGTTGTTTCTACTTTAAATATTTACCTCAAGATCCTTTAACAAATGGCTCTAAAGCGCCTGCTTCGTTTGTTTGTTGTTGTTGTTGTTGATATTGTTATGTTTTTATTATGACCACAGTAGCTGCTGTGTATGCAACTTAGTATGTAGTGGTGTTGCATTGTCTGTTAGTTTCCATTGCTGTATGCAGCTTTTAGAGGCCTAATCTTCCTCTCGCTACCACTGGAACTGTCACTTCTTTATTTTTTCCATTGTTTGCTTAATTTAACTTGAAGTTTAAGTTAAATAACTTAAATAAACATTTTGCTAATGCTTTTGCTTTGTTATTGTGTTACGTGTATGATAACATGCTGCTGGTCGTCGCAGTTGCTGTCGCATACTGTATTTGCGTCCTGGTTTCTAGTTGAAGAAGAGAATAAAATATTAAGACTGTTTTCAGTGTGCAATTGTTCATATGACATTTGATAGTCTTTAGGTATTTACCTTACTTG